AAGCGAAGAGCGAGCCTGTGTCCTGAGTCTTTCGGGTCCCCTTAATCAAGGCATATAGGGGTTCTACAGGGGTTATAAAGGTTGTATAGGGGTTTACAGGGGTTATATAGGGGAATGTAAGGGTCATATACCCTGAATTAAGGAATATAGCTCAATTCATTAGGGACCCTAGTACCATTTAGGGTATATTCCTTAATTAAGAGGTATTGGGCTCTTCCCACAGCGTGCACTTGTTTAATTAAACCCTAAAACGCCGTCGTGGGTCCTTCGTCGCTTCAGGTTGAGTGGTTAGGCGTTACTGTAATAGGGTTGGACCATGGCAACAAATGAAAGATGGTAGATTCCTGAAGATGCCAGTCCGTGCAGTTTCATTCTGTAAAGAACTTCGGCCTTTACCATGGAGCCAAGGACTACACAATGCCAAAAACTGAAGCTTTACCTCAAAACGCACCCTGCGTCGTTGAGGCCGAAAAAATGGATGACCGGGATCCAGGGCACTGTCAGCAGGTACCTGGGTCACAAGTTCGACAGACAAAGCGCTCAATGACCCTATGCTTATACGACGATTACTCCCGGCATATGTGATAAACGCTACATCAACAGCATCCAGATGCTTGTACCAGTTGGGGCCCATTGGCCCTGCCCACTGCTGCAGAGCATAGTGGAACTCCTTGCAGGGAACCCCCGGTTGCTAATTTCCAGTAACGACCCCCAAGTACTATACCCGTAATCCCTGAACACTATTTGCAAGCAAGCCCAAAAAGGGGTCCCGAATTTGTGGAAATGCCTGCTTCTTGCTCCATACAGAGTTCGCAAAAGACCATGAAAGGACTAGTCAGAAAACAGAACTCCTCTGTACCTTCAAAGAAGCAAAATGAAATGAGCAAGGAAACAGACAAGGGTAATATAGAGTTGTAACGGAGACCGTATGCTTTGCTAATACCCATACTATGGCAAGCTAACTCGAGCTCCGTAACCCCAACCCTAATCTCTGCAAACAATTCTACAATCCCCGGCTTCGTTTAATTATGCATTGTCTTTTCCAATCTGCCCCTCATGCTAGATCTTACTAAACCCTAGCCACTTTCTCACTTCATATCACGTAGATTTAGATCTCAGCAAAATTCTTGCCACTTTGGCCACTAAGCCCTTACCCTGAACCCACCCCGCTCCTCCGGGTCCCAGCCAAACTCCCCCTGCATCAGCAGATCGACGGTACTGGCGTGGTGCCGGGCGTGCTCCAAGACAAACTCCTGCCATGACTTGGGGTTTAGGGCTTGGGGTTTGGGGGTTTGGAGTTTGAGTGTTGAGGGCTTGGGGGTTTGGGATTTTAGGGTCTAGGATTTGGGGTTTTAGGGGTTTTAGGGTTTGGGGTTTTAGGGTTTAGGGGTTTGGGGTTTTAGGGTTTGGAGTTTTGGGGATTAGGGCTTAGGTTAGGTGGACCCCGCCACCCAGTAATAGTGGCTACAAGGGATGATAAGGATTGTATTAAAGGATTATATTAAGATAAGGGTTATATTAAGTTCCTCTTTTAACACTAGAATAGTATGCCACTATTATGGGGTGGGGAGGTCCTCCTGAGGGATTAGTTCCTAAGGGATTAGTTCCTTTCTGCTACCAATATGGTAGCAAACTTGGGGTATTCAGTGTTCATCGTAAATGGGGTTGGTGGGGCTTTAATGTCACGAGGGAGGGAATCCAAGTTTCCGAAAATCGGAGGACCCCAAAACAGACCCCAAAATGCCAGCACCCTTCCAATGAGGACCCCTAAAAAGACCCGTAAGTTCGGGAAACCCCAATCCCGACAAAGCACGACACGAGCAGCGGACAACACTCAGCTGGCCAGTCCCATACTCGTGCTGCAATCTCGTTCCATCTCGTCTTACGCACCCCAGAACATTTCTTGGGAGGACCATCAACGCACATGAGCCAGATGAAGGATCGACTCTTTTCCCCAACATACCGTGCTCAAGCCCGGGATGTGGGCATTAGAAATCCGTGGTAGCTCCTGTGGGTCCCATAGAAATCTCCCATCCAGGCCTCTGAACCCATAAACTTTACAATCGCTGCACTTGGTTGCCATAGATTTTGAAATACCTTGTGCGCCGAATGACTAAGTCTACGACCATCTCGTGTTACAGCGCTTGGGCCTTGAATCTCGACTTCCAACAAAGTTGCTTTGAACAAATGCTGATCTTGCTGTTTGGAGGGGACCATCTTGTTTTACAGGTTAAGCGCATGATTTGCAGGATTTCTGACCCATGTTAAGACATGTTCAAACAGACGCAACTTAGTCCGTCGCTCATATACTCTCAGTTTCCATGTATTTTTCAATGTTTTTCCATTTCATTCATCATGAATGGAATACCATACCTAGACCATAAATCCTCAACTCTTAATCTTAACCCTATGAATCCCCCATATCCACTTATTGTCCTCCCAGGGAAGGCTCACAAAGTCCGAGAATGGGTGTGTGAGAAACTTCTGGAACTCGTACGGCGGGAAGGTCACGCCATGCATCACCTTTAAGGTTTAGGGCTCCGGGTTTAAGGTCTGCCCCCACCCAATAACAGCTCACAATAGGGATAACATAAGAGCTATGCTCAAATTACATCATAAAAATTGTCCAATTATTCTTAGTGGATGCAGTATTAAATCTGTAGCCTGGGGAGTGTCGTGGGTTCTCAGATCAGGAAACCGTAGTAAGCATCGGGATGGAAATGCTTATAAGAGCCAGCGTCTTCCGCAAGTTTGTATGTTGGCGATGAGGGAATGAATGCGTACATGTATGATGTCCATGTTGGAGATTGCCATAACTAAAGAGAAACACATGAGCAACAAGTTTCTCCAGAAAACTCCTAGTCACGTCGTGGTCGATATAGATCTGCTGGATGCAGATGTATGCGAAGGGCACGGCGAAGCAAAGAGTGCAGGTCCAGAAGCTCTCTGGGAAGGATGCCAGCGCAAAGCAATAGCTCAGAATCATGAGGCACTGAACAACAAATATTGTTGTCAGAACATTCCACATGTAGATCATTTGTTCCTGAACTGCATATCCGCTGCGGCGGCTACTCGGCAAGAAAACGTTCAAGCTATTGACGGCAGCCAGATGAACAAAAACGTTTGAAGCTCTCTTGTTGGTTGATGCGGAATTCGGGAACATGGTACGAATGATTTTGCCACAAACAGGGGACCCCAATTTAACCCCCCCATATACTATACTCCCAATTATATGGGCACCCCCAAAATTTGGGCAGCCACCTGTCTAGTGAAGATAGCAGGAGGCACAAGAGCATTAGGGTCGTCATCAAACTGCCTAAGGGTCATGCATAACGAAAAGATGATTTCATGAAAAACATTTCCGGGAGAGCTACCTACCCCCCTCCCTCTCATAATACATGAGCCTGTACTAGTTTCCTGTTAAATAATGGTACCCCAATTGGAAAAAAACTCAAGGCATAACTCAGTATACAATATAGCTACGAAAGACGTCTGGGCGAATAACGGTAACCAGCCAGGCTTATATACGACTACAGCCGTATCGATGTCAATTTAACCTAAACCCAATTTCAATTCCAGTCTTAATTCTCTTGTTCTTACTAGACCCCAAAGGACCTGTACGCTTAAATATGCCCCCCATGCATTCCCTATAAAAGCCTAGACAATTAGAGACCTAGGCTCAGGTGTGATCTTGGTGAAGAGAAACGCGAGCTGTGGCGGCATGGGATCAGGTTTGTTCGGAATCGGGAACAAGCGGCCTGAAAAGCCAAAGTAATGAAGCATTGTCAACAATAGGGTTTAGGGCTGCTATTGTTACCCCCAGTAATAGAGAACCAAGTGGAAATGTTGAAGTGAACGCTGAGCGAGTGGGCTCTGCTCCGTGCGGGCGAAATACTGCTGTGAGCACATGTGAAACTACACAAAGGCAAGGCTAACTACGACTCAATCCACACTGACGCTGCCAAAAGGCAGGCTGGAGGCAGGGTAAGCTTAAACAACTTGGTGTCGTTTTCTCAAGAAGCTAAAGCTTGAGGCGGTCTCAAGCCACTGCTCCTTGCCTTATGAGCAAGATTGGCCGTCCAGCGGGGCGGGCATCGCCCCCTCATGATGGGCGGATGCCTTCCCGCGATCAGCACCTGATACCGCGCAGCTGGAAGGCTCAGGAATCTCAAGCCAACTAGGCTTGAGAAACATTCCTAACTGAAGCAAAACACTTTGGAAAGACAAGCTCTGCAACAGCCTTGCACTTTGTGTTAGTTAGGGGACCAGGCTGCAGCATTGCTAAATTAACATCCCCGGCAACGCCTGGTCAAACTGCGCTGTTTGCTGTTGAGCTTTAGTTGGCAAGGCCGACCCGCCGGCAGGAAACTCCTCACCGTTTGCTGTGTTCCTTCCAATTGTGTTCTTTGCGATCATGCAGGTTAATTGTCATGCACCTTCCTTGATTCCGGCCACAAATAGAACGAAAGCCTGTCAACAAACAGATTTGTCCGTCAAATCAATGCCGTTGCAGGATTAGCCACCCTGCTAGTGGGCCGGATACGCAAATCCCTCCCCTGACCTCAAATCCCCTTTAGCCGGGAGCTCCGTCAAGGCAAGTTGGGACGCGCCCGTGCACGACACCGCACCAAGGTAGGTTCCTGAACCTGCGGTGACTTCGGAAGCAAGCAGAGTATTCTAAGGGTGCCACGTGTAAGGCAGTCAAGGGCAACGCCTGGCATCCATAGGGCAACGGCCTTGCTTTCGGTCACAAAGCATCTGGACGAACTTCACACATTCATAGTCAATCCTTCGCAGCTGTCTGAAACGTTAAGCCCGGCGCGTGTCTGACTGAAAGCTCCGCTCTTTGGATGAGCGGCCGCGCTAACTACAGGGAAGAGACCGCATTGCGCAGCCATTCTCTTTGAGAGACTTTCCAGTTCGCACATTCTGGCTGCAGGGTACAAAGTCGCATCGCATCTGTGCTCTGTGAGGACATGCAGGTTTGTTGTCGTGCACCTGGATTCCAGTCGCACATAGAGCAAACACACTACCAATATATGAATAGCTCTGTCTGTCGAATCCAAATGTTAGCGGGATAAACCACCCCGGCAGTGAGCCGGCTACTAAGACCCAGCCCCAACCCCTCCTTCATCAACAGCGGTAGCCGAAGGATCTGGAGAGGCGAGGTCAGGGCACGCCCATGCTCGACACCGCTGCAAAGTATGGGTCTCCTGGTTATCTAGGTACTTCTTGCGGCCTCACGCTATACAACTGCACTCCCTGCGACCAACAGTTTGAAAGCCTAAAAATCTTTCTTGGGTCGTGAGCTCGAAGCCCGAGTCTCGCGGCAAAAGCAGGCCAAGTGGAATGTGTGTAGCCTTGTGCCATCACAGTTTGCACCGTGCTCTTCGTAGAAAGTCGCCGTCCGCTTGTTCGCAGTCACCAAGACTGCTGCGCGGGAAGCAGCAACCCTACCACTTACCTTCAGTGCTGAACCGTCCGTAGGAAGTTGGAAGGCCCGGAATTGGGACCCGGCACACTTGATTGCAGTTTCAAGAGAATAGATCCAGGGATCAGACCTGCCCACAAATGGCACAAAGGCACCAAAAGAGGCAGCCAGGGCTTTTCCCAGCGGTTCTACCTCCCCTACAGAGAATCTGCAGCCGAGCCGTAGTGGCTAACCAAATGGAAAAGAACATGGAAAACAAAATAAGAACTGGGGTGACATAATGTTTTATCAAGGGTTAATCCCATCCCCCTAATAATAACCCCCACCACCATCCCAAGAAGAACCTGATATGATAGCCCTATATATTGAAGGCCATCATTGGGGGCATGGTGATACGTTCAAGTTACTGGTAGAAATCTTAGGGTCACTTTGGGCTTACGGCTCAAGACAGTGGAGTTGAACATTCAAAAGGACAAGCAGCAGTGCTGGATGCCACGTTTTAAGCCACTCCGGGGTTTCCAAAAATTTGGGGGGGAGTTCCCCTTTTGTGCGTCCTGATGATTAGAATGCTGATATTTTGGGGTACAGGAGCGGGGCCCCTTTATCTGGAGGCCCCTTTTTTCGGGAACCAGACACCTGTCTTCAGGCTTCTGTTCTCGTCGTTCTTTTCCACGGACAGGATCTTGTCCTTGCTCTCCCCTAACTCTGCATCTTTGCGCCATGACTCCACCTAAAACGGCAGATTGAATTCTGTAGATCTATGCCCTAAAACTCCTAAAACCTGAAACCCTCGAGCCCTATAGTCCAAACCTATTAACTAGACGCCAAACGCTACCCTTCTCCTCTCTACCCTGAGGACAAAAAACAAACCTTAAACCGCAAGCCCTGCTCCTTGCTCTTCTTCACGTTGTCCGCATGCGGGTCACCCTCATCCGGCTGTGCACTCTTCAAAGTTGCGATTTCGTGATCGCGCTCCTGAGCTCCCACGCAGTAGTAGAACTCTTGCTTTAACTGTCCTGTGGAGGGACCAAAGCAGAGAAAGCATAAAGTAGCAGCAGCAGTAACAATGATCAGGGCACATACTTCTTCTTGAGCTCTTCCAAGTACTCATCAGCTCCGTAGAAAATCGAAGCTTTGGAGTACCCTGCCTCAGGGCATCAGGGATTTAGGACTTTGTGGATTAGGGTTTCAAAGCTTAGTGCCCCCTAAGCTTACGGCTTAGGATGTGGGTTTGGGGTTTAGGCTTCGTGGAGCTTGGAGTTGACTCTTGTTTTTTTGAAGAATTACACGAGAAGATTGCAGGCTAATTTCAGGTTGATTTTGGGTTTGGGGTCGCTTCGAAACGAACCCTGTTTCGTTGAAGGTACACAACCTGACAACTAGCATCACCCCAAAAGGCCATTTTTTCTTCCCTTAACCCCAAACTCTTACCTAATCCCCGCACCTCAAGCCTGAAACGCATGTTCCCCCCCTACTCCATAACCCTGCGTTGATCTACCAGTTGAGTTTCCTGGCCCCATAAAGGTTCAGCACTCCAATAGCATGCAGATGCCTTCCTCTCCAACAGCGGTGCGCTCGCCATGGGATCTGAACCCACAAAAACGCTACGCCTGAACAAGTGTTTGAGCCACGCGCCTTGCGCCAGAGAGTCTGGTGTCCAGGTTGACGAAAGAACAGAAAGTTTCGTAGAGGAATTCCATCAGGCTTATCTACAGGCCAGACACTAGTTACGGAAAGTTAAAAGGCGATAAGGGAACAAATAATATAGCAACTATATATCGTCACTCCCTACCAACGACCAGTAATGCTATCGCCCTGAAAAAGATTTCCAGTTTTTTCCTTGCCTAAGGATCAGGTTCTAGGACTTGGAACTCGGGGCTTTCCAACACTCGCATGGCTGAGCAGAGAGCAAGATGTAAGACAGTCTCGTGACTTACTAGTGGTTAGTAAGGAATAAGGGAATATGGTCTTTGTATAGATGCCCTATACATATAAATATATGTGTGCGTATATATATATATATCATACTCCCTTACTCCCTACTTACTAACCCCAACAAAAGCGCTAGCAAACATCACACTTGTATGGGGCCAGGGGTTCAAGGCGTAGTCTAGTTCAGTGGAGGTTCTCCAAACCAGCTACCCCTGCCCTGCCTAAGGCCAAAAGTACTTGGGGAATATCAACCCACCAATCAGAAGCCATTAGGAGGGACCCCTAACCCCAATACCTGATATGCCACCCTAAACCCTAAATCTCACATATTCTCTATATACTTCTGAGATACCCCCTATAAATATAGAGCCAGGTAGTCCCCATATCATCACCCAGAACCTGCAGGGGTCCCCATTAATGGTCCTCCCCAAACAAACCGCTGAAACTTAACCAGGCCCTGTATAACCTGTATCCACCCTCTATGCACGCCTATACAACCCCTATATACCTAAACCCTAAACCTTGTTGCCTCATGTGTACATATGATATGAGCCACCATTTACATCGCATTCAGGCTAGGTCACGGCAACTCGCAGAATAGAATAGTTCTAACCCCAAAGCCTGACCCCCTCAACACCAGACCCTAAAACCCTATAGGCCCCCTTTAATAGATTGAATATGGCTTTGAATATATTATAATAAGATCCCCGTATACCGCATATTCTATCTACTTAAGGGGGGCTATAAACCTCGGTAGGCACCGGACCACGGTACTAAGCAGCAACCGCCAACCTGCCCATGCTAAGTCACGAGGGGTCTGTCATGGGATGTGGCTTTGTTTTCCCTAATGTAGATCCGTGAGTAGTAAAACCGCCTCCTTTTAAGGGCCTTAATATTAGGATCCCTATTATAATCCCCATGAAGGGGAGGTGGTTTATTAATCAGGGGTCTGGGTTACAAAACAAAACTCAGGGCGGGACCTACAATTTAGGGGGACCCTCGGGGGTAAGGTGTGGGGCGAAGACTCAGAACTGTGGCCCTGCCCCACCCACTTACAGTCGACACAAACTGTAGTTGCAATTGTAACTAAATCCCTTCATACTTCTATGAGACACACCGCCAACCCTAACATTGAATAAGTTCCCCCGAGTTACCTTATACTATGAGATCTCTTATAGGGAATATGTAATCTCAAGGGTGTGTGTGGGGGTTACAGTAGTTTCTAGCTGACTCCACGACCATGAAGGAGGGAGAGCCTGATCTGTCAAAAAAACATGCGCACAGGCCTACTTGGCGGTTTACAGCTTCCTGCCCCTAAACACTAACCCCATGGATGCAGGGATTAAGAGCTTAGGTTTTGAAGTTTGCAGCGTGGCATTTTGATTGGGAGCGGCCTTCTGGAGCTTTAGGGTAAAAAAGGGGTTATATTAGGGTTATATACGGATAATGGAAAAGAAAATGGAAACTACTATTTAGGGTTTAGGGTTTAAGGTTACAGTCCCCCTTAAGTAGAAAAAAAACGCACATCGACTTGGTGGCAGGCACCTCATTTCTTTGTGCCTAGAGCTGAATCCTGACATCTACTGCAATCCCCCTAAACCTATGCTGCAACATGGGTCTTTAAGGGAAGGCGAGTAAAGTCTCTGCCTGAACACTTCAACCTGCCGCCCACCCAGAGCTGACATGAGCCATAGTCTAAACTCCTAGTATCCCCCTTCATTACCCCTATAATGGTCCCCTATATGAGCCATAGTCTAAACTCCTAGTATCCCCCTTAATAACCCCTATAGTAGTTCCCTATATGATCCCCTATATAACCTCCTTTAAGGAGTTTAGACTATGGCTCATATAATTTCGTATATAACCCGTTTAAGGAGTTTAGACTAGAGCTCGCATGGAAACATCTACACGCCACCTCAATGGGGCTGTAGTTGTTGTAGGGCCCAGGCTGGGCTTCCACGTTACTTTAGGAGGGTAGACCCTAAACCCTAAACCCGAAGCTCAGGTTGCAGCTCTTCAACCCACTCCCCTTTTCATGAAACAACCCCACCCTGCGGTTTGGGGCTTACTGTTGGGTTTCTAATGCTACATACTCCCCAGGATGGTATTACAGAGGAATATTTGTAGAGGGATGAATGATTTCGAGACACTCATACAGGCCGAAAAAGGAGTGCACAGCAACTCAACCCGCAACCTTGCATTCAAATCCTGACCTAGACCTTTTTCTACCCTAAGCCCTATACCCTATATAACCCATGATAGTAGTGTCCATTTTCTTTTCCATTATCCCCATGAATATCCCCAATATAACTTAATGGGTCCCCTCAATCCTAAACTTCTAACCAATCCCTGAAAGCGCATCCTGAAAGCCACAACCGGAAACGGGAGCTGGAAGCTGTAAGATCTGGATCCTAAACCCAAAAATCGTAGACCCTTACATCACTCCCTGTGGCCGACACCATCGAGAAGCCTCTAATCCTAGACTTTTAAGTCCTTAATCTGGATCCTTTGGATCAGAAGCTTCAAACCCTGCATCCCACACTCCAATCCTCCCGAACTCCTGTGCCTGTCTGAAGCTGCTGAAAAAAGCCGGCAAGGATCTCGTCTACCTGTCTTTAAATTTAGGGCTCAGGGTTTTCGGGATAACCCTAAACCCTAAACTCTGAAACCCCTGCGGTTTAGGACTCGGGCTTTAGGGAGGTCGTGGCCTAGCATAAAAGGGTTTCGGGAGTAGGGTTTAGGGCTTGGGCAAGATTTGACTACCAGGAGGCTCCCGCAAGTATTCAAAAAGATTGATTAGCTAGGATCTCCTCTTGTGCTTTGGGGGTTATCATTCTGTTCCCCTCCCTCCACTCTCTCAGAACGCACCAAGAAGAATGAAGGAAGCTGTCCGCTGTTTTCTGCTCCGAAATCTCCAGCCTTAATCCCTAAACCAAACCCTAAAAGCCCCATCCTTTGAAACTTCAAGATTGGCACGCGGCAAGTTTGGAATTCAGTGGTCAGATTTCAGGTCACTTTTGAAACTTCTCAACTTAGGGTTTAGGATTCTTTTTTTCCTCTGCAAAAGCCAGAAGTTTCTCAGTGCTTAGGACCAAAACCCAACAATTACTAACAGGGTCTGTAGGCTGGGATCTAGTCTGTCAGGCCTCCAGAACTGTTGTGATGCACCCTCTAATTGGCAACACAACGTTGAATCTTAGGGATCAACAATTAACTGCACTCAGCTGGTCAGCTTTGTTTGGATAAACTTGTTCCAGAAAATCCAGTCCTCAAAACACATCGTAGTGGTTGATAGGCGGCCTCACTTTTCTGAGTTTCAAACATTTGGCACCCTCGGGGACCCTAGGCATTGTTGAGGCATTGGAGGGGATCCATATGTGACTTTATGGGGGATAAGTAACGATTGTTTTAGAGACGCGGTAACTTCTCAAACACAGTGGCGCAGTAGAAACAGAAAGTGCGTGCTTGACTTGCTTGACTTCTCGACAGACCCTGCCTGAGGGCTTAGGGTTCGCAAGCTGAGGTCAGGAGGTTTATAGGGTCTAGGAGTTGCATGCAGACAGAGATGGGCACCCTTTGGAAGAAGCGCCCCTCAGGAACCCAACGGCTAATAGAGAGGTCCTAACCATAACAATGGGAACAACAAGCAGTGACAGATACAGGGCAACAGTGACAATGATTTCTGGGAATCATAACCAAATTCCACAGTTGCATCCCCTATAGCTACAACACCGCCCACAACAGTCATCACCACATCAATCTCCGCTACTAGCTGCAGCAGTATCAACGGCGATGGCAAGAACAGTAACTAGCGGATTCAGTAAGAACTACAAGCTACGTTGGGCGACCCAGGTGCGCAGCTATAACCCTAAGTGCACAAAGGGACCATACGCTGTAATTCACACTGCGCCCACATCTGTATATATAGATATATGTATACACATCATGCTCTACACGCAAGACCATCACAACGAGTGGGTATAAAGCTATAACTTTCATCGGGGTCCCCAATGAAGAACTCATGACAAGGTATAGCCAGCCCGGAAGCCCCTGCAGTCTAGCGTTTTGCACAATCGGTGCATGCCACCCAGTCTATGACGCAGGCCCCTGATTAGGCAGCCCCTCTTCTTTAAGTGGGTTGCTGTTAAGTTACCATACAACGGTGCCTGCAGCGGATAATAGGGTCCCCTTATAAAAAGTAACTTATCTAAGTTCC